AGTTCTGCCTGGACCTCATCAAGCAACTTGTAGTCCGCCTTGGTCCGGTGCATGTGGCTGGGTTTGCGGTCTGGGTCCACATTGCGACCTTCGACGCCCCCATGGGGCCCTCTCGAAGTTGGGCTCCCTGGGGGGCGCCCAGTCGGGCAAATCGGCCTGCGCTCCGCGAAATGCTCGCATCCACGGTCCTCCTCTCGGTACTTCTTCCGATCCGCACATTTGCCTCTTTTGTAAGCCTTCTTCTCCAGCGCTTCAGGCTGCCGGGAACTACCTGGTCAGTTGGAACGGATGACCTTGCCCGCTCCAGGGCCCCGCCGCGCAGTCCGCAATGGCCCATGATGGCAGACTCGAACGGGCCCTGCGCCAGCCAGTGTCTCATGTGGTCGTCTGGCACCTGTTGGCGAGCAACCCCGTCGCTCTGTTCGCCGACAAGTCTGAATCGAGGCTGGCCTTCGGGCTCGCCCGAGCCTTGGCGGCCCCCTTGGATCGCGCGGGCGCGGGCGCTGCGCGCCGCCTGCGTGGGCGCGCGGAGTGCCTGCGCGAATGGCTCCGCCAGTGGCGATGGCATGGCGGAGTGCTTTCAGTTCCCCATTCCTCGTCACCGTCCTCAGTGCGCCCCACGCGTCTCCAAGCCTCGCGGCTCGAAATGTGGTCATGTAGTACAAGGCCATAATGAGAGCCTTCAGTCTGTCCAAATTCGCCTTGGATCCGCCCGGAAAGGTCGCCAGCGTCGCGCGGGTTACCCCGCGAAGGATCATCGTCGCAGGTTGCCCTGCACGTAGGGTTCCCAATCACCTGCGGTCGGAACGCCAATCGTTGCCCCTCTTCCGTGGACGGTATAGTGCCATCATCAGAACTATCTGGCTCCTACCCGTCGGACTGCGCAGGCGCCCCTGCCATCCTGCAGTCCGCGTCGGCGGATGATTGGCACTCTTCGATGATCTCCACGTGCGCAGGTTGCCCCGCGACCGGGGTGCCCAGCCAGTCCGCGAGATCGATCCCGCCACGGCCAACGAAGGCGTCCTCGAAGAGCTCCTCGGCGCACCTCTCGAGGGACGCGCCGGCTTCCATGTGCCTCGCGGACGCGAAGTGGAAAGCGGCAGCGGGGCCATCCGGATTCGGCGAAAAAAATCGAAATCGACATGCTGAATGTCGGAATCGGTTTGGGCCGAATGCATCGGTGGACCCCTGCCCCCCCATCGCCTCGGGGGCGTTCGCGACGACAGTGCTAAGTGCTATGGCAGATATCAAACTCCATGGCATTCCCGTTGACATCCTTCTGGCCATCCCGCCGCCCCTTGCCTTTTTTTGCCGGAGGGGTGCCCGCGGCCTCTGCCCTTCCCCGGGAATATGCCCTCATGCTGTGGCCCCATGGAGGGGGGCCAAACATGTCAGCACGCCTCTACCCTGCAACCGTCCTCGCCAACTTTGCCTCTACCTTAACTCTTTGGTCTAAACGCGCATCGGGCTGCGCGTCGTGCCGTCCGAGCTGGTGTCCTAATAAAGCGTCTCCATTTGCGTGCGTGTTCCTGGTGGCCCAAGAATATCCATTCTGCTTGTTCTGCTTCTGTCAGGTGCGCGGGCATGTCAGAACAGTCCATGTTGCCAGTTCCTTCGTCTGACGAGGTGCCAGTCTCGGCGCATGAGTCAAAGTCGGACTCTGCGGGCTGCCCAGCCGAACCCATGAAAGTAGCGGCTTGGTCAGGGCCGCCGTTGCCGACGGCCCCCGGCATTGAGCCCAGGAGTCTTGCGACCCTATGGCATGGCCACCTGGCAAAATGGAGTGGTGGCCTCGTTTGGCTGTAGATCGACGGTCCAGATGGCGCCAGCAGGTCGCCCCGCATGAGTGCCACCATGAAAAACAGCTGTGCGGTGGTCGCGGTTAGACGCGCCACCCATGTCACCAGGGGTTCGCTCAGCAATATGGGCGTGGGCCCTCATGCGCCCCATTACGGATTCGAACCGTTGCTGAGTCCTCGGCATTTGGCGGTTCAGTGGTTGTAGTGCTTGCTGCGCGCGCTAAGTACCGACACCTGGGGCCCTGAACAATATGACTGTCAGGATTTGGAAGTTTGGGATGTTGAACCCCGCGGCGTCAGCCCCGCAGCGTGCAATCTCGAAACGCGCCGGCGCCCGGTCGATCCGTTCTCCCGCATGGGCAAGAAAGTCGTTGAGAGCCGCCCCCGGATTCAGTTGTCTTTCATCTTCAAGATTCTCGAGCTTAGTGCTGGGGAGGAACATCATGCAGGAGGCTACATCAGCGTGGCGCCCACTAATGTTCGCTCCAAAATGGATTCTTGCTGCGGGGGCTCTCATGGCAATGGTCCTTGCGAGACCTGTTGGGTGGGAGTCATAGTGCCTGTGGCCACGTAGATCCAGGCATGTACCTGGCAAGCGAACTCGCGGCAAAAAGGTGCGTTACCGGCAGGGCCCCAGTGAGGACCGATAGTGCGCGCGTCTTCTGCGCCGCGCTGCATATTTTCATCAGCGCATCCGATGACGACTAAGAGGAGGCCAAAGATAGCGATGCCAACCCAACGGCCCCGCAGGTCGGTGTCAGTTGTACGCGGCTGTTGGTTACGATATGACGTTGCCGTCAGTTTGCGATGAGGTGCAGGCGGAACGATGTCATAACGCATGCTACGTGCCGTAGATAGCAAGGAGTAGAGCTAGAGCTGACCACCAACGGCCAACCTCGCTACCCAGTTACAGGCCGGTTGGGAGGCCCAACCAGATGCGTCGCCTAAGGCGAAGCATGCGTCCAACCCTGCTTTATCGTATTAGCGATAATGCCAGAGGTACGGAAAAACCGAGTGAGATGCGAGGGAACATCTCAAGAGTAACGGGTGGAACCTTTTCTGTCTCGATGTAAGGAAACGGGCCGCGGTGCAGCCCGGTCAGAAAGGTGGCCGGTCACTTTGGCCAACATGGCCGCGGACAAACGCCCGATACCTCTCGCCTTTGCCCTTCCTCCTTCACAGTCCAAGAGGCAACACTCATTGATTTCTCGTTGGTTTTTGAAGGATTTTCAAGTTGTCGCCTTTCCAGCTTCCCGACGCTACAACTCGGCCCCAGAGCCCAGAGGCCCCCAAGACAGCTTCAAGACGGCTCAAGGATCTCCAAGAATCAAGAGGGCCCCAAAACAGCCCAAGAGAGCCCCAAGACTGCCCAAAAGGCCTCGAAGACGGCCCAAGGTCCGCAAGACAGCTCCAAGAGAGACTCCAGACGGGGGACTCGAGCGGCCATTTCGAGCTCTTTGCCCGAAGAGGCCCACAGGATGCCCCAAGAGGCCCCCAAGAAGCCCCAGGAAGTCCCAAAAATACATCCAAGAGGCCTCCGAGAGGCCTCCCAAGAGACAGCAAAAAGCCTACCAAACAGGCGTCTTGTCCACGATCAAGATTGGCTCCAAAATACGCACAAGAAGCCATCGACAGGCAAGAGGCGTCTTGTCAACGACCAAGGTTGGCACTAAAACCCCCCCAAGAAGCCATCGAGAGGCCGCCTACTCATCCCCCTCTTCCCCTCTTCATCATCCCTCTCCTGCTCCTGCTCCTGCTCCTCCTCCTCCTCCTCTTCCTCCTCCTTCTCGATCGCCACGAACACACCAACATAGAGCACCAGAGATACCATGTGGACCGGCTCAACGGGCCAGAAATGTGCTAAGATCTCTGGTGACTAGTGGTCCCGGGAAGCTACTCAAAAGTCCCTCAGGATGATCCCGAGAGCCGTTACACAAGATGGGCCAGCGGAATGAGCGAAGCGATAAAGTAAGAGCCCCTATTGGATGGCCCAAGCGGCCACACAAATAAATCCAGCACAGCATGAGATAGGAAAGAGAGAGAGAGAGAGAGGGACGGATGAGGATGAGGAGGAGGCAGAGGACGGCGGACAGGAGACAGGGGAGAGAGAGCGGTCAAGCCAAAGCATGCGGAAATACCGCCGAGTGCACATAGACGGCGTGAATCAAACACACGGTCAGGCTGGTAGATAATGGCGATGCTGCAGCTGCGGCAGCGGCAGGAGAAGAGAGGAGAGGCGCCAAACCAACTCGCGCCACCGCGCCAGCAAAACACCCCTCCGCTGTGCGATAGCGGACGGGCCGGCACGTCCAAAATCACAAACAAATGCCGTAATGGAACTGCAGCTAAGTGGGTGGCTGGTTGGCGGCTTAGGGACTGAACCGTCCACTGCCGCGGCCTTCTTCTGGTAGAGGGCGGGGAAGACCACCCGTGCGATGGCCACCCCTACCAACGAGGCCCTGCAACAAACGTACCCAGATAAGGAATCGAGCAGGACAGAGCTGTGCAGTATAAACGGGGGGCCGTCTAGCAAGCGCCAACAGTGATGGTCGGGATGTTTAGTCTTCACTCGGTCATGCTCGCCCACCTCCAACCTCCATCCTCCTCCTGCTCCTCCTCCTCCTTCCGTTTTCCTACGGCAAGCTCGTATCGTGACGACCTGCGCGTCGAGTACTGCCAAAAGTGGTGCATCGTCCAATCTTCAGCGACCACGGCCTTTTCGACAGCGCGGATCGTTCGACATCGCCCGAGTCTGGGCCGAGGGCGGCATCCAGCCTTGAGCGCCCGCGCTTGGGGCCGCCGCCGCTTCTCGACACGGCACGAGCCAGCCGTAATGTAAAGGGGCCGTGGCTCTCGGAGCGCGAACCACCAGCGACGCTTTCAAGAGGCCGTGGTCTTTGAGAAGCGCAGGGTCCTGAGCACACTTCGAGAGGGTCGTGGCCCTAGGACTGCGGAGCGCTCGCAGCTCTGGCGAGGGCTCGCGGCCCTGGAGCGCAGATCCATTTGCTTCCCCCTCCCTCGGAATGTTGCTCCCTCCTTTGCCAATGCACCTTTGACGTGCACGGCTTCTCGCTTTTTTTTTTTCTCTCTCTCTCTCTCTCACTCTCTCGCTCCGAATGCCTCCTCACACATCCCTCCCCCCCCCCTCCTGCAGGGCCCCACCCCAGTCCCCCCCCCGGGCCCCCGTGTGAATGGCCAGTCCTCCCCGTCGAAGTGGCCCAGCAGCTTCTCGTGGTACTCGTGCTGCTGCTTGTCAACCTGCGCAGGGCGGGGAGAAGAAGGGCGGGGAAGGAAAGCGTGCGCGGTGAGGAATACCCAGATCTCCGACGACGTATCTCGTCAATCAATTTTTGGGGGGATTCGGCCTCTGGCCGTCTTTGGGATCAAACGGAATTGAATAATGCTTTGTGGCGAAAGACTGGCCCATCGGAAATGGTCGGGCAATGGACAGTCGTGCCGTCGGAGAGCTGGGGAATGAGGGGCTGGGATGGAGAGTGAGGAGGAGAAACGGGGGATGGGATCTAACTGCGCGGTTGGTGCGCGTGGGGAGTGGAGGAGCATGAAGGATGGGCAGTGGGCAACGGATCATGCCCCCCCCCTCGCTGCCTGCGAAAACGGGGGGGGCGGAGCCCCCTGGGATCCTGCCCCCCCCCAAGCGCGGGGGAGGCCGAGCTCGGAGGAGGCGCCCGGGAGGACCCGATCCCCCCCCCACCCCTCCGGTTGAACTCGCCCTTCCTACAGCTTCTCCTCAAGCCACGCGCTGCCAACGTCACGAAGTCCCGACCGCCGACCAACTCTTACGTAGCCCCGCCCCTCTCTGGGGGGGTGGGATGACCGAAGGCGTAATTACCCGAGCATAAAATATTATTGCCCGAACTTGCGCGCGGCTCAACACTGTGGCGGGCTGTGTTCGCGCGGCTGGCAGTCGCCGCGCGCCAGTGGCTCGTCGTTTGGCCGCGACTCCGAGCCCCCCCCTGAGAATCTGACACCTCCCCCCAATGGGCGACGTATGTCCAACGCGCGCGCGAAGGTCCATGACATGACAGCGAAGTCAAGCAACTTCGCTCAATTCAACAAGGCCCCGCGCGCTGCGCTGACACCCCGAAGTGGCCCTGGCGGGCGCAAACTTTAGAGGCCAAAGCTGTTTTCGGGTTCGCACGTTTTGGGCAGATAGGGGCCGGGGCGCATGACAACTCCGTCTGGCCGATAGGGGAGCAATGCAGAAAGGTTCACGGCCACCGCAACGAAACCCAGACCTCCGACCAACTCCGCGCAGCTGAGAAAGCACAGCGAATTCATGCCCTTCACCATGTCGGTGGCCTTCAATTCAAATGGGGGCAGACCGGATGTCCTGCCTCATTGACCCCCCCCCCCGCTTCTGCACAACGCGGCAGCAGGAACGGCCCACCGAGCCATCGCTCCCGCGGGCTGCGCCGCCTCCAATCGGCCTGCGCCTTTTGATGAGAATGGGGCGGGAAACGCGCGGGCAGCGACGACTGCGGGAAGGTTGCCCTGCAGGGGCCCACGGAACGGCCCCTAAGCTGCCTCCGCGGGCCCCAGGACTTCCACGCAAGGAGCACGCTTCTTCACCCCTCCTCCTCCTCCTCCTCCTCCTCCTCCTCCTCCCCCTCCTCTTTCTCCTCCACTTCCTCCTCTTCATTCTCCTCCTCCTGCTCCTCCTTCTCATCCTCCCCTTTCTCCCCCTCCTCCTCCTCCTCCTCCTCCGTCTCCGTCTCCGTCTCCGTCTCCTCCTCCTTCTCCTCCTCCTCCTCCTTCTCCTCCTCCTCTTCCTCTTCCTCCGCAGCGCCGTGGGACCATTTTTTGGCTCCAACTCTCCCGCGCCAGCCAGCTTCCCGCGTTCTCGTCAGCGCTTGGGGGACACCAGGGCATCTGGACAGAGGTTGCGAGCTGTTGTTTCGCAGTCGCACTTTTCGCCCTTCCTGGTGACGAAGGGACGCGAAATTTACAGCCAGCTGCAGTCATAGTGTCGCAAGCAGTGGCAGAAGAGCCTGTCGCGGTCAGGGGTGCAGCATCTTAGCGTCAAAAGGTGGGCAGGCAGGCCCATCAACTACGACGCTGGGACTGTGATCCGGCTTCGTCAGCTTCAGTGCCAATTTCTCCCACTGCCGCATGTGGAGTGGATTGCCTTGTTTTACACGCCCAGCAGGAGCCATGTATCATCACATACAATTCTGGAATCTCCCGTCTCCGCCTAGGGAGGGTAATCCAGTTCGTTTCTGTCTGTGTCTGGTGGTTTCGTATTGTTTTCTTTGCATGTTGGGATTCGTCAGCCACAGCGCTGGAATCTCCTGTCGCCGCCAGGGGAGGGCATTGCAGTTTGATGATGGTGGATTTTGCATTGATTCTATAAGTTTGCCTTTTGGGCGTGTCAGAAGCTGGGCATGGATTCCGTTTGTGTTTGGGGACATGGTTTGTTGTTTTTTTGTCGGACGCTGTGCATAATGCTATGGCAATGTGTATTTGCAGTCCTTGTGCAATGGCAGGCAGGTATGGAGGAATGACATTGCGCCTTGGGTGTGGGATTTGGGCGAGGCTGTATGCGGAAGAGGCGAGCTCAGTAACCGTCGTGCTTTCGGGAGATGGTTCGGGGACACAATTGCCCAGTGACAAACGGTGTTTGCTCATCATTGGCAGGGCCGTATCGCGCCGACATCTCCTCAGTTGAACACGTTACCGTTCG